GAAAACTTTAAAATCATTAAAGCAGGTGTTATTTCATGCATTAATGCTACACCTTGTCTTAGTGGCCATTTGTGAAGTGGAACATGATTTGGGAATGCCATTGCTAAAATATATTCATCACAAACAAATAGTTCAAACTCACTACATTCTGTATAGAGGTGCCAGTTATGATGCTTATAGACCATGTTGCTGAGGTACTTGTTTTTGACACGGAATGCTTAATAGTTTCTGTGTCAGAAAACTACTGTTTGAAATCTTAGCGCTAAACAAACATTTTCTAAATGGGTCTGGGAAAATCAGGAAATAAAATAGAGCCTTCAGGGCATCTGCCAGCTTTATTTTGTATCGAGTGTGATAGAAGTTCAGTTAAGCTGACAGGTTGTCACCTATATTTTCGCCTGTGTACTTACCTTTCAGGCACACACGAAAGAATGACACAGTGCACTGCAGCTTGTATTAGGCTACTAATCTGTGTTGCCTTGCTGAGCAATACTTTTTTGTATGTACACTCACTTTAAGAAATAATTCTGCAATGAGGAGCTTTCCAGATATTGTAAGGTGTCTTTTCAGCTTCTGGCTAAAGGGCATTGTGAGAGAAAATGATTTACTAAATACATTCATGTACTTACTATACATACTGTAATGCAGCAGCTTGAATTGTTCCCTTTTTAGTTTTGTTACAATAGTCATGTAACACAAGGAAAGAAATGCACTATCACGTTAGCCTTTCACTTTTTAGACAGTTGATGCACACTTAGAAGCTGCAAATGTTTCATGCAGATTGTCATGATGTAAATGAGATGGCTGAATAAGTCTTTAACAGTTATTACATGCTAGCCGTTGCTTCTTGAACTAAAACCAGGATGTAGAGCTATGCAATTAATAAGATGTCAGTCCCCGGGGAATGAGCACTGGCTTACTTGGAACAATGCTTCTAAAGCAGTGCACAAAATATGCATTTGTCATATAATACAGTGGCAGTGGACCTGTCTGTCTTTTAGAAAACTGAATAAAACTTGTTAACCTTCAGGGATCAGTTAAAGGCAGTCCAAGTGTAGTGAGCTGCTATTTGAGATTTTCCTTAACTAAATCTGTCTCATTTGGGTCATTTCATTCTAACATACTGAAATGCGACCTTTAGTAGGTACATCAGGTAGTGAGGGATATGGCAGTGGGTGGAAAAATAAAGGTTGAGGTTATTATAAGATTTTTTTTTTTTTTTGAGGATAAGAACATGGTACACGTAGCTTGGAAAGTGTTCAATTGTCAGCGTATTCATTCATATTCATACAGGAGTTATTCTTCCACACTCATGAAGCCAGATTGACATGGGAAAATACATTTTAACCACAGCTCAGTTTTGATTTGTTTAACTGTACATTTATGGTGTCCTGTCCTTCAAATCTAACTGATGTTCCAGAATTTCCAAAATTCCTTTATTATGATGTACAAACAATTCAAATGGCAGTCTAATATAGCCTTTATTCTTTTCTCTTTTGATACATGTTTTTTCATACCACTGCAAAGACCATGTAATGGTTTTCTGGATTAATTTCTTTTGTTTATGCTACATACACTTTAATAGGCCAAAATGCTCTCCAGACTTTTAAATTTTTTTTTAAATGACAGTTCTGTTCCAGTTGTTTGACTGTGCTTAGGAGGAGAGCACAGATAACCTCAAAAATGAAAAGGTAGTATTGTGCAGGGAGGAAAAATGGCCAACTGCTGTGCTCAGTTTATTAAGTGGACCAGCTGAGGTGTAGGCTATGTCAGGTGTGCTCCTGCTTGCATATGTGCATACAGTTACAATTAATAGAGACCTGTGCCAATTACTGCTCAGATGAGTCAGCACAGTGAAGCCTGTAGAAACTACAGTGCTTGCTTGCTCCAGCCAGTCAGTGTCAGGCTCTAGGCAGTGGCTTGATGCCAACAGGTAATGGTAGCACTTTAGATGCTCAGCATCTACATGGCATTGGGTGCCAATGTGCCACCGTTCTCCCCTGACTTCTCTTACTGTCAGGGTTGTAGTCAGATTTTGGCACAGGCTGCTCTTCACATCTCTTAACAGCAATATAACCATACAGTTTTCCATACAGGTTCAGGTTTTGTTGTTATGTCACTTGTTGATCTGTGGCCTTTACTGAGACTTGTTGTAGTCAGCTCTGTTCCCCCTGGCTCACTGGCCTCAGTTCCTCAGCTCTTGACTGGGAAAGGTTGTGATGCTGCTGCTGGCAGGTAGCTAACTGCTCCATGGCATTTCCTGCCTGCTGGCATTCCAGAAAGCACTGCATGGACGAGAGGGAAAAATATTTCACTGCAGAATGTTGAGATTTTAATTATGTTCCTTGTTTTCTTCCCAGCCATTCTGTGTGATAGTGTTTGGCCCCACCAGTAAATTTTTAGGATACAGGCAAGAATGAGTGCAGCTAACAGAAGCAGCCAATGGACACAGCAGTTTTTGCTGCAGTTCGTGCAGAGAGGGCCCGCAACTCCATTCAGAACAGGACTGGATGTCCTCTGCAATGGTGGTGATGTACTCCAGGGCACAGTTCCCAGCTGCTGCTGGACTGACTATCCCTGTAACATCAGAGACCTCAGGCCAGGGGGAGCTCCAGAAGGGAGGACACAGCTCTGAAGGTCCAGGGCTACAGGGAATGCCTGTGGCCTTTAGCCAAGGCTGGGACAGCAGGAGGTGGTTTCCTTGCCTACAGGGGGTGTGCAGTTATTAAGGATCTGTGTCACCAAGTAAAGGAGCTGCAGGAGGAGATCAGTACTCTGCACAGCATCAGAGATAATGAGAAAGATTTACCAGATCTTTTCCAACACTGTAGCTTCAAGAGCCCAAACTACTAACTGTGCTGAAGGGAGTAGGGTCAGGCAGAGTCTGTGCCTGTCGGTCTAGGAAGTGAAGATTCCCATGATGACGAAGGTTGGAAGATAATGACTTCTGGCACTAGGAGGGTTTCTGCTCCACCTGAAGATTTGCAGCTATAGAATAGGTTTACTGACTTCATGACCACTGACAATCTGGGAGCTGTCAAATAAAGCATCTGTGCCATCTGATCTGAGCCTCGCAGGAGCACCAAAAGGAAGAGGCGAGTGATGGTAATGGGAGGCTCGCTTCTGCAGGGGACACCCATATCTGCCAACCTGACTCATTCTCTATGAAAGTTTGCTATCTGCTGGGGGCTTGGATTTGAGACCTTGTGGAAAGACTGCCAAAGCTTGTCCAGCCCTCAGACTATTGCCTCCTGCCTCTCTTGCATGTGAGCACCAGGGATATTGCCAGGGATGACCTGGAAAGTTTCAAGCATGACTACCTGGCTCCAGGGGCAATGGTCAAGGGTAGGGGAGCCCTCATGGTTTTCTTCTTAATCCTGCTCATGAGAGGGTAGATGGATCCTGCAGATCAACAACTGTTTACACAGCTGACGTTGGCAATAGGGTTTTGCTTTCTGCAACTTTTGAGACCCTCTCTTGAGGGTCACGGATTGCTATTTGACTAAGTGGGGCAAAAGTATCTTTGCCAGAAGCTGGACTACCTGATAAGAAGAGCTTTAGGGTAAGAATGATAGGAGAGGAAGAAAACGACCAACAATCAAGTGAGAAGTGGTGGACTGGGTTGACAAGCAAAGGGTCTGCTGTGTTGTGAACAAAAGCGACACTGTAGTCAATAAAACAGGTCTGAGCTGGGGTTGTTCCAAGTGTACACACACAAATTAGAATGTGCCCACAGAATAGCATTATGTGGAAAGCTCTAATTTCCTTTCTGGGAAGTTATGATAACCAAGTTCTCTGAAGTACCTGTGTGGCATTCTTTTGTTGCAAAAGAAGAGGCTGAGAGCTGGGATTGGTTACCGTGGATAAAGAATGCTTAGGAGGGATCTTACATATATTAAAAAAAACAAACTAATGGGAGGGACTAAAGAAGACAGAACCAGACTTTTCTACATGGTATCCAGTAACACAACAAGAGGTAATGGGCCCAAATTGAAATATAAGAAATTCCATTTAAACGTTAAGAATAACTGGAACAGGTTCCCCAGAGAGACTGTGGTCTCTCAGTCCTTAGAGGTTCTCAGAATCCCACTGGACGTGACCCTGAACAACCTGCCCTGATTGAACCTGCTTTGCGTGGAGGGGTTAGACTAGATGATCTTCAACCTCAGCCATCCTGTGATTCTTTCAAGGTGTATGAAAGTCAACCCAATGGAAGTAAGTGTCAACTCAGCATTATATACATGTAGCTCTGGAAGAACTACTCAGTATTGTTTGTTCATACTGAATCAGAATAGGAACAGATTTTAGACACTTTAGGCCAAAAATAGGTATCTGAGCTAAAAGGAAAGAAAACTAAAGTGACTAAGAGACATCACTAAGTAATGCCAGGATGCTAAAGAATCTTTCTGATCTTTGACCCCATTTGTCAAGTTCTCAGTGCTAGCTCTGAGGCAATATAGTGACAGGAAAATAAAAACTGTTGAACTTTTTAGAACTCAGAGTTCTGTATTCTGTTAGCTAAAAAGTAGAAATACTTTCATAAGTTGATGTAAAGATTTGTAGTGATGCTTCACACATACATACCATGGACAGATCAAGTGCTTACTAATTATACTTTGACTTTCCTGTAAAGTGTTTGTCTGAATATCTTGTTGGCTTGAAAATCTGTAAACATTCTTATTGAAGCTGTTGCAAAATATGGCTAGCTTTTCCTCTTGATTGTAATAATGTGTCTTCATATGATACGATTTTGTTTAAGCTGACCATTTACATTAGCTTGAGACTCTCTGGTCATTTCATGTTGTCCTTCTCCTTTGTGGTTAATACAGATAGGCTGTTACATTATACGTCTAGATTCCAAAGTTGGACGTGCACGAAGTTGGCAAATAAAACCAGTCTATTAAGCAGTGCAGTAATAAAGAAGAAGTTTATAGAAGTATGCCTCTATATTTAAGTAGTCTGCTAACTTGCAGTATATTTTTCCTCCTTCTTCTCCATAGAATGTGTACGTAAACATAAACCGCATCATGTCGGTAGCAAATCGCCTGGTCGAGTCTGGCCATTATGCTTCACAGCAAATAAAACAGATTGCAAGTCAGTTGGAGCAAGAATGGAAGGCGTTTGCTGCAGCCTTGGATGAACGTAGCACGTTACTGGATATGTCCTCCATCTTCCATCAGAAAGCTGAACAGGTTAGTGAATGGGGGAGTACCAACAAAAGTTTCAATGCTGGAATGGTGAGTCCGTCCTGTTTGCTTTTGATGTAGACAGAAGTACAAGAGAGTGATTGAAAAGGTCTTCAAGGAAGCCAGAGCCTTCATCTCTGTTGATTTCAGCTGACTTTAAAACAAAAACTTGTTCTCTTCAGGACAGGCCACTGCCATTACCTTCTCCACAAAATGCCTTGCTCATATGAACACAAGGTAGAACTTAGCCAGATTAGAGATATGAATCAAAATGAAGTGCACATAATTGCTTAACTACATGAAGCTTTTAAGCTGAAAGGAAAAAAATTAGTGTAGTCAGTATCAATCTAATGCCTTTCCTACATCCAGAAATCACACACTTGTTCTGTTGTCCGTAGCACACTACCCCCATCAGACCTTGAGTGTCAATGTTTAACTCATAGTAATTGCTTAAAGGAAACTAAGCTGAACTGGCCTGGATGTTGAGAAGAGAATTAACTGTCTTCTGAATCTGAAGTTGTGGTGGGAGATGTTTACTTAATATCCCATAAGAGATTCCTCCTATATTAAACAAAAATTGTAGCTTTAGGCTTGTACCAATTATTTTAATTAAGTCATTAACCATGTGTAACTGCCAGAGAAGAGGTATATGTAGGGGAAATAGGAATAAATATCCCCAAGTTAATAGTCTTGATGGTGAAAGCATGCTTTCCACTCAAGGGAATTCAGTTCTGAAGGAGTTGCTATGTGTGTGCTGTTGAGTCACCCATTGATGTTATAGACTCTCTGCTCTCTACATCTCTGGTGAATTTGGAGAGCAGAGGTTCTTGGATGGTTACGACTGACTGAAGCTCTAGTGTGCTGTATGGATGCTGTCGATACATTTCTTTCCTTTTGCCTTGCTAAATCGGATCCAGGAAAAGGTCTCATGTCTGATATAATTTTAATTTGCAATAAATGAAGGAAGCACTTGGGAGTTGATGATTGCAGAAATAGAGGCAGCACACTTTATTTTAGAAAGTTTTTTTCCTGATTTCTACTACACAGATACTCAACTTCATAAATGTCCAAAATTAGCAATGTGAATGTATTAAGATGCAAATACACACTGCATTTCATTATGATTTTTTATATTTCATTATTTTTCTGTTAGACAGACTAAGGTAAAGTATATAAACTAATGCCACTATAGTAAGAATTTTTAGCATGTTTTACAGAAAAACCTCCCAAAAATGAGGGGAAGGATATGTTTTCTGGTATAAAAGTCACTAACCAGCTTGAAGCATTTGATAGACACAGTGTGGTACCTTATCAGTATTGATGCTTTTCTAAATACTTGGATTATTCAGTTTTACATTTAAGCACTGTCAGCCTACACGTAGGAGAGAGATGGTGAAATGTGAACAGATAGGAATACCTTGACTGAAGTGCTCTCTTTTTTCATAAGAAAATGATGTTCATCAGAAGTCAAGGGAGTAAATTCTGTGTGTGTGTTTGTGTGTGTGCTGGGCAACTGTGGTAAGGGTTGGTGTTACATTCTTCAGCACTCAATGTAAGTGTAGACAGGAAGAAAGAGAAGAATGAGAGAAAATAGTGCAGCATCTGCTGGGATTAATTTACTTTTTAATTGTTCCTTCTGCAGTTTTCATTTGGTGATTAACTGTGATGGATTGTCATAGTTGCTTTGTAAAATACCTGGCTGTGATATATTAGCTGTTTCATTAACAGCGGAGAGTGAGTTCAAGAAAAGAGGGTTTGGAATGAGAGGAATGACCTCTTTAAAGACTCTTGATGCTTGACCTACATAAAAAAGATGATTAAAGAATAAGCAGCCCAAGAAATAACACGCCCTTCTTGAATGCATGTGTTCCCTTGCAAGTGACAAGTAAGCGTTGCTGCCTACTGTCAGACACAGTGAAGACTGCACCCGGCTATCAGTGCCTGCTCACTGGTGCAAGAGGTGTAGCTCTGTGGAGCTACACATGGAGCTTCTTTTAATGTTCAGTGCTTAACATTAGAGATTTTTTAAATTGTCCCTTGATGAAGAAAGAATTAAATATCTTAATTTAAGTACTCTATAACCCTTTCTCCCAGCTCTCAAACAGTAATGAAGGAATAGAAATGGTTGGTGGATTACTTTTTCCTCAAAAGTAATGTGCTCCAGGAATTACAAGACTGATGATTAAATAGTTTGATCTCTTAAAACTTTTGAGACTTGAACTTGACATGAATAGAGGAGAAATTTAGTTTACAGTTAACACGTGTGCTTGGCTGAAACTCCTAGAAAAACAGGTTCTTTTTATCTCTTTCGTTTCCTAGCATAACATGGGTATAAAATTTGTGCCCCCTAGCTGTCAAAAATAAGTTGACAGAATTTCTGCTGTTCGTACAGCTACGATGGCAGTTTCTTGTCTGTCAAGACACCTTAAACTTCAAAGATAACTTAAATTGTCTGCAGAAGAGACTCTTGCAGTATCCTCAGTTTACCCTGTAAGGCTTGACTTGAGCTGCTGTGCTGACATAGCTGTGTGCTCAAAGTTCAGTGTTAGTCCTAAGAGACCCTCACTTAAGTTGTAAATCCCTTACATGCTTGCTGCTCTAGTAGTTTGCCAAATGCATTTAGTGTTTCTCTGCATGCAGAAGTTAGTGCTTTGGGGACTGAGGTGTGAATTTGCTGTGCACTAACACTGCTTTGCCTCCTGGATGATCTTGTTCCAGCAAGAGACAACTATGGAGTGTTTCAGTGAGCAATTTGAGTAGTTCACCAATAATTCTTTGTGTGCATGTGCACATACATGCAGAGTAACTTGGTTTTCTCTGAAGATTTAAAAAAGGTGGGGTCATACCTCATGATAAGATGAGTAACTGTACATGGAGTTGATGGGTAAGAGCTGACAGTCTGGACTTGAAAGTTGTAATGTGTTTTGCCTCTTTGTGTAGACAAGACCTTAATTGCACCTTTCATGCATCTAAAATAACAGATATGGGGTGAAGTAAAATTTTTCTTGCTGCAAAGTCAGGAAAAGGAGCAAGAGTAAAATTGAAGCATCAGTATTGGTTCTGAAAGCTGGCAACATGCAGCTAAGCCTGCCTGCCTGTGAATGGCTCAGAGTTCCATATAGCTAAGAGCGCAAGTATAGTATAGTCAATTTTTTTGTTTCTATTCTGATATAAACTTTGTTCTGGTCAGTGCAAAGAAAAAGACATTAAACATTTTTTCCTTAGAAAAGTCTTTTCAGTGGCTGTCACACAAATGCTAGTTCTTCTGTGTATTAGCAGTGTGCGTGTACTTATTGGTAGAACCCAAAATTAATGTTTTGTAATGTGTAATGGTAGAATGTTTTTTCCCTGTTGCAGTACATGAGCAATGTAGACTCATGGTGTAAAGCCTGTGGTGAGGTGGAGCTTCCCTCAGAACTGCAAGATTTAGAAGATGCTATCCATCATCATCAAGGGATATATGAGCATATTACCTTGGCTTACTCTGAGGTAGGTGTCTTGTCTGTTTCCTTAAGTTGCTGACTTGATAACATGGTGTAACGTTAAGGTTGGGTCATAAACTGGCATTGCTTGTTGCATAGTGCATTAGTTGGTAACTCAAGTGCCACACTTCTTTTTAAATTTAGTATACTGGACTTTGCTACTGTTGTTCCAAAGTTATGTTTTAAGTCTTCTCTTAATCTTCTGAAAGAAATTTAAAAGACAAAATGGGACCATGTGTGATACAAACAATCCATGTAGTGTACTAAGTATGTTTTAATTTACATTTGCATATTGCTACCTTTTAATAGCAGTATGATACTGTCGTTTAAACACTAGAAAGGAAGCTAGCTGGGTATTCCTTGGCAAAGTATTCCATTGGCATGGATTGCTGTAAGTGTGTTTTGGAAATCCATCTTTGAAATTGCCTCACAAGAAAAGGCTTAACTACCAAAGGATGTCACTTGACAAGCTGGAAGTTGTATACTTACTTCTGCCAACCTCAAAGACACTTCAGTGAGCCAGCGCGCCTACATAGTCCGCATTCGTAAGATCAGTGTATCCTGTGCTGCTGTTCTAACCTCAGATTCTGCACACAATGAAGTAACAGTATTTCTTAGTGTGTCTAATAGTTGTATTTAAAGCTAAAGATAAAATGCTTGTTCTGAAGGTGGCCTAGAAAGAGGTGACTAAAGTATCTACTGTTATTCTTCAAATGTTGAGTTCTCTCATGTGTTTTATTTAGCTGAATTGAGGAATCAAATGGGTACTGACTTCTCTAGTAGCTAACAGGTATCTTCTGTGTTTCCTGTTGAGCTTTATTGCTTTCTTTTTCCAGGGTTGTTCTCATCATAGGGTAAAACTATTTTTGCTGTTAAATTGGACTAATGTTATTCTGGATTAAACACAGCAGTTTTTGTTCTCATGAAAGTGGCATAAAATTATGCATTTGATTAAATAATGGTAAAAATTGATCAGTGGACACAAGATAGCTTAGGCCACAGCTTGCACCTTCTTTTAAAAGGAGGTCACATAGGATTGAGGTAATGGTTGTGATTTATACTTTACAATAAAGATAAAACTGCTTTCTGATGCACCAGCTCTATTATGGGCAACTGAATCATAAGTCTGGTCACATTTCATTTAGCAGTAAAGGAGAGTAAGATTAGTGCTGATGATCAGCCTTGTTGTTAGTATGTCTAAACTGGATTTTTTTTTAATACCTGCTGTCTTAGAGACTGCATAAACTTAATTACCATGAGTCAGGTGTCCAGAGTTCATGTGAGCTGTTGTTCTTTCGTGTAAAATACGCACTGATATCCCCATTCCTGATATATGTCACCTTGCTATGGCAACTGTTTTAATGACTTAGTGAAGCACAGCTTTGGTGATAAACCTTGTGACCTTACTACACATACCTGTTTTAACTTTCTCTTGAGAGCATGTTTTGTAGGAAGGCTTCTTCTCTTCATTCTAACCTCTCTTCATTTGGAGGATCCCTTTGTAAATACAAGGGACATAAACAGCACATTTGTAGTGGATTTATGTAAAGAGAAGCGATCTGGGTGCATGCTCCATGAGAGTGCAGCAAGAAATAAGAAGCCTAGGGCTGTCTAGAATAATGATTATAAAGCACTGAAGTTAAAGTAGTGGGAATTTTTTTTTATTTGGTTCTGTTTGTTTTGGATTGGTATTTTTGTCATCTTTTTTAATCAGGGATGTGACTGAATTAGAGCCTGCTGTTAAGTGTAAATAAGCACTGTGGATTACCATGTTAAATACTGCTTGCTTCCTAGTGATGCATAATGAAAATAAATTAGATGGGTAGATTATAGGATTGTTCTGGCAAATACCCTGAAAATTTATTTAAGATTTCAAAGCTGTAGCTTTTGACTTCGGGATAGCTAGAGATTTTAACAAAATCTTAATTGGTAGTGCTCAAAAACTAGAAACTAAAGGTGCCTTTCTTCTGATTTCAGGTCATTACTTTTCCCCATCTGGTGAAGCAATAGCTTTGTCTTTAGCAACCAGAATTGGTGCAGAAATCATAGTTGCATGCATGTACAAGCCATATTCCTCCTCTGTTCAAAGGTTTCATTTTGCCTTATTTAAACGCTCATTCCTTTTTGAAGATTAATGGAGTTGTCTTTCTGTGCAAAGATATTACAGAACTATTGCTTATCATTATTAGATGTATGACTTCATTTCTGTTACAGCACGGAGCTCCTTTCATTTTGTGATGAATGAACAGTGTAAGGAGAGAGAGAGAGAGGGGAACATTGTGGGAATTACAACACTTTGTCATTCAGTTTAGATTACAATGTCTTGACAACATGACTTGGTTGCAAAGTAGAAGACAGTAATTTTAAGAGAGTAAATGCTTTTAAGACTAGACAGTCTGATTTTACTGAGGATAATTACTGTATATTGCTAGAAAAGTAACTTACTGCCTTACAAGCTTAGATAACTGAAAATCCAATAGCTGTGCCTTAAATGAAGTTATATATATAAATGAAGTTATATATCTCACTAAAATCTTAAGGTAATCATGCTCTGGGAAGGAAGAAAACTTTACTGTGTTAACTCCAAAGAGGAAATGTGCATGATCATTTGTCTGTAAAGCTAATAAACTAATCACATCATGGGGCTGCCACAATTAATTATTTTTTTTTCCCCAAAAAAATGTCATGAACTCTGGATAGAAAATTGAAGTTCATTATCTTGAAATATTTGAAAGACTTGCTTTGGGTAAAGAAAAGAAAAAAATCGTCATTATAGTAACTACTATGGACTACATTATTTTCTGCCTGACTTGACTTTATAGGAATTACTTTTCCAAGTAAGCTTCATTCTCTGTTGTGATACTTATTACTAAAATGGAAAAGCTGAAATTCGAACTGAGAAATAAGCTCACTTGTAAACTAATTATTAGAAAATAATTTTCATTCAGATCTGTTTGACTACCGAATAGGAAATTTTACATGTGCCTGGATTTAGGGAAAGTTGTTGAAAATAACCACTAGAGGAAGGCCTTGACAAATTTTCTGTTTCTGTCATGGTGTTGATTTGAACGATTCAGACTATTGTTTGCACTCCAGTTTTGTGGTTTTGGATGAATTTTTCCTGCGTGGTAGATGACCTTTTAGGAAAGTTCTTTACAGATATCTGAATGTTACTGAATGGTGACAATTCTCTGAGCTCCGTGTGAAAGTGACAGAACTGTTAAATGGCAATGAAAAGTGTTTTCAACTGGCTTGGCAAATGCTAAACATTAACAGTGACCAGATAGGATTATTGCTTTTTAATTAGCATGCAAGGTAAATCTGAATATTTTTACTGTGGTTTGAATCAGTAATTTCTAATTGTTGTCTTCTCTGATGTTTCTTGTCAGCATCAGTTGTTAAAAGATCTTTTGGAAAAGAGTATTTTTCTGTGCTGCATGGAAAGGTTTAAAGTGATTTAATCAGGTTTAAGTTTGCCACAGCAGCAGTTTGCCTTTCGTTTACTGGTAACAGTAATAATTTAGAAGTTGTAAATCATGTCAGATCAAATCATGTCCTAATTTTATATCTGTTGGTCTAAAATGTATTAAACAAATTAATAATAACCTGTAGAAAGTAATCTTGTTCACCTTTACAGCAAATGAAAAGAGATGCTCCTGAAAGTATAATTCTAGGCAAATTTTAGATGCTTTGTTGACTAGAAAAAGAGCTGAAGAATATTTATTCTAAGTTACAATTGACCTGTTTTTTAAAAAAAAAAGATCACTTTGAAGGAAAAGTACTCTAAGGTAATAAAAAAATGGAAAGACAGACTTATTTAGAAGAGTGCTACTTAAAATTGTCATAGAGGGAGAATATACATTTATATAGATTTTTTTTTCCTCCTATTACAGCTGTATGTAATCATGCCTAGGATAAAAAAATCTTCATCACTACTCCCCAAGTTCTTAAAGACAACTAAAATGGGGAAAGGGGGTGGGGGATGAAATAATAGTCTAACAAGCTTTTGGCAAGACAAGGAATTCTTGGTTCTTTCTGGTGATCAGGTGAGCCAAGATGGAAAGTCACTGCTTGACAAACTTCAGAGACCTCTGACTCCTGGGAGTTCTGATTCCCTCACTGCTTCTGCCAACTACTCAAAAGCAGTTCATCATGTTCTGGATGTCATCCACGAAGTACTGCACCACCAGCGCCAACTGGAAAATATTTGGCAGCATCGAAAGGTCCGCTTGCACCAGCGACTTCAACTGTGTGTTTTTCAACAGGATGTTCAACAGGTAGGTTTTGTTTCATGTTCTCTAAATGCCTTTGTATTCTGCCAGCCTGTTACTTGAAGTTGGTTGCATTGACAGGTGGGTTTTGGTATCTGAACCTCATGTTCTTTCATTGAACAGTTGAACAGTTGCATGGGATTGAGTGACTGATTCCAAGTTCTTTGTATTATCAGAGTATATTGGCTCTTATGGGTAGAAATGATATCTGTGAGTTAGCTCTACTTCAATTTTTTTCCTTTTTAAAAAATTAATTTCTTTGAGTCAGGATGAAAAATATTTTTATTATAGACAGCTATTCTGAGCTTCTGCGGGAAGCTGATGTTCATATTCTAGGTAGAATTCTGGACTCGAAGTATTGGAAAGTCTTGTAGGAGTAACATGCAAAAAATTAAGTGTTAATTCAGTAACAAATTGTTAGTTTCAAATCCTCAGTGATATGTAATTGACTTGATGTTTATTTAAAACCTGAGAGTCATATACTAAAGAGGTATAAGAATTACAGACAAGATTATTTTCTGACAATGCCACTGTTCTTGAATTAATGGTTATTAGCTGCCCTATTTTTATTATTATGATGACGTCCATTAAAAGTTAGTAGTTAAGTACAGGCATTAATATCTCTGACATGGTTTTAGTGTTAAAAGGCAAAGCTGCACAGAATTCCTCTGTTGATGGGTTTTAATAAACGGAAAATGTTTGCCTTAGGCTACATTTGACAGATGCATTAGTAATTTATCCCTTAATAGCTGATCTTCATAAAAAAAGTAATGGGCAGTATTTGCTGATCATGTTCTTTTATTTCAGGGTAAGGTGCTCACAAAGCAAGAACTTCCCAGTGGGGTTTTTAGATAGGCAGTCATACGTTCTGGTCAAACTAATCTTGTTTCTTCCAAATTAGTTGCACTTCAAGCCAAATTTGTTGTACTTACCTGTTGCAAGAGTATGCTGGATGTGAGTAGTTGGGAGTGAAATATGTTGGTTTCAATCATTTACAGTTGTTGAAAAAGATATTTAATTCAGGCAGATGATGTAGAGAGTGAGCAGTCCTGTTAGCTCAACTTTCTTCTACATGCAGTGCCTATTCCTTGTGTAAGTTGTTTTCTTTAACTTTAAATCTACTTAAGCAGTACATTAAGTGTAAAATTATTAAAATGTTATTACTTAATTTTAATATAAAAAGAGGCATATATTGACAAGCAGGCAGTTATTCAACTTCTAATGATCAGATCTGATAAAGGATGCAGAAAGGCACGAAAAATGTTAGATGACCAAAAAAAGTAAACCAAAACAGAGTCAGTGTTACAAATAGTCAGGAAAGGCATAGAGAACCAACTTGAAAACACTGTTACTCCATTTTATAAATCCCGGAGGCTCTCCTTCATCAAGATTGCTTCATAAATAGTAGCTAGTCAGGAGGGTCCAGTGCTGGTACTTGCATGAGTGGTTTGTGAAGGGCACTTGTCGAAACTGGTGAGGCACAATCCACAAACAAATGCCCCTTAAACTTAAAAGGCTTCATAAGGAATCTTCAGAAACTGATATTAACACAGTGGTTTGCTTCTCAGAGGGAAAAATGCAGGTCCTCTCAGTGGTAGCCTAACGCCAACAAGTACAGATTGGATCCTGGAACTTTCTCCTTTAGTTTGAATTCAATTTAAGTAGGACCTACTTATGCAACCAAGGCCAAGTAATCCCCTGAGACTATTTGCCAGATACATAATTCAAGTTTCAGGCCTGTAGGCTAGGCTGCAGGCAGTTTGCTTTCTGGGGGAAGATGTTCGTTAAATCCTACAGAGAGTCTTATTGTGCTGTTCCTACTCCTTGCTTTTATTATCTTGAGAGTCACAAAATGTTTGTAGGAAATTCTCTTTTTTTGCTCCTTCCTAAGTCATGGCTCTCAGAATGGAGGAATTAGCTCTGAGACAGCTTTGTTCTTTGAAGCTGGCAAATAACCCTTCATTAGACTCAAGTAATTGTAGAGTCACTACAAGGTTCTTCAGCAAGAAGCTGGATTTTTCTTCTCTGTATGAGGCCTGCAAGCCCTTGGAACAGTAGCATTTAACTTCAAATCGTCACAAGTTTGAAAACAACAAAGTAGACAGCTTTACCTATTTTTATAACTTCCACTATCAAGAATGTGCTATCCAAATCTTGCGTGTGGATTGTGAGTATACCAGAAGTTTTCGGTATGAACCGATTGGCTCAAGATGCCTCTGGGCTCGTTATTCAGTACATACCCTACCTACTGGTTGGAGAAGTTTCTTCCGGTTTATGCCTCTAGTTTCTCTTTATGCTTTGCAAGGCAGATCTTGCATTAAGATACCAAGGTATCCTCTTGACAGTTTGAAGCTATGGCCTTTGGTGCTAATGCACGTCTTTACCAACCACTTCAGATTTCAAACTAGATCTTCTGTACAGAGATGTAGCCCCTGCCTGCCAAGTTCCTAAGCCTTTCCCTTAATACCCAGTAGTTATCACTGCCAGAGACTGGATTGTCCTTTGGTTTGTCCCTGTAATGGATGTTAACATCCATGTTAGAGGCTTCTGAGGTGTCGCATGTGGAAGTATAGCTCTTTGTTATGTTACTTTAACTTAGCTTTCAAGTATTGCTGTATTTTTGGCACTGCTTTATGAATCACAATTCATATTGTGATTCATATGTTCCTTGTCTTCATATGACTTTCAAATTTACAGCATAATCCACACTGAAATATAAAACAATGATAATTCAATGTCCATACCAGGCAAATTAATCTAATAGCCGAAGCAGATGCCTTAAGGATAATGGCAAGTATATAATGGTATTTCCCTGGAATAGCCTTGCTTGGGCAGATCATAGCTCCCTCAGCTTTGGAAATACATGAGGGAAAAAAAGTGAACTTGAATAATAAGGATCTTTTTTTCCAAAACAATCTTATCAGATGATGTAATTTATCTGAGAAATGTTAGCTCTTCAATAGAAAAATCATTGACACCATTCAGTGCATGAAATTGCTTGGTTTTGAGGTATCAGTTAAATTTATATCCAAGACAATTCTGGAGTGGTTTATGTAGAGCTCCAAAACAACTTTCTAAAATACTTTTGTTTTCATTTGCATATTCTCTCGGGCTTCTTCGTCTTTATTCAAACCTTTAAAAAAATCTATTAAGATTATCTAGCAAGATTTAGAAACTAGCATGAAAACTGATTTAATTATTGTCGGTAAAGTTAAATGTGGGGGTATTTTCATGTCAAAATAAACTAAGTGTAGCTCTCTTCCACTGTTTATAGTTAAACTGCACATAGTGGCAAGCAACCAAGTGCATTGTAAGCGAATCTGTAACTGTCCTTCAGCATGAGTCTGTGATTTCCTCCTCTTCCCTCTGCTGATGTAGTTTTCTGCTGAATTAATGAAATAAGTAAGTTCATAGTAGTGTTAAGTAAGTGAAAGAGCTGAGCTGGAGGAGGGAATTAGGCTGCATTGAGCTGGTATTTATTTTGTGTTACATCTACCTTAAAAAACTGTTTTGTTTGTTTGGGGTTTTTTTCTGCCTTGTATATTCAGTATTGGGAAAGTGTTTCTAGTGGAGCTTTTCAAATCAACAAAACCACTCTGGTCCTAGCTGTGTACCCCAAGATTCACCTGCTAATTTCTTGAAGCAAGTAATAAGGAAAGTAGCACATAAAATATTAAAAATAGTACATAAGATGTGAATTACAGCAAAACAAATTTAAAATGTGAAAACCTGCAACAGTCTTCAACTGAACTGAATTCTGAGTTTGACCTTAAGAAATAGAAACATGCCAGGTCAAGTAGTTCCTGGTTAGTTTGTATATTAACACCAAAAAAGAGGGTCTTTAATTTAATTAAAAAAAAAGTCAGGTCATTGGCTGTTGCAGTAAATTGTTGAAAGTGTTCCTTCTAATGTAAAACATGCTAATAAAAGTATAATTTTATGCTTAAGAATTAATGAGCTTACCAAGTTGATAATATACACCAGCCTTTCACCGAAGGAAAGGAGCTGGCTCGAACAGTTTTGATATGAAGCAATATAGCTGAATTGCAATAGCAACATGGAGTTGTGTTCTGCTAGGCCACAAAAGGTCAAAATTGAATGTAAAGATAATGTTTCTGGCAGAGTGATACTGCTGACACTTGTATGGTGAAGGTTTTGGGGCCTGAAAAGCACTCCTGATGGCTTCCATGCCAGAGATTAGTAAAATGTACTTGTAGTAGGGGTTGGTTTGTTTGTTTCTTTGTTTCAAAACTTACATTTATTAGGTCTTGCTGACTTTGAGTGTCTTCTTTCTCTGTCCTGGATAAATGTGCTGCTTCTCCTTCCTTGATCTGCTGGCCTTAAAAACTCTGTCCACGTTTTTGTTGTAACAGTCACTTGTTTCAGCCCTGACTAATGAAGGGTGGGCCAAGAATGCTTGCTACTTGCCCGGCATCAACATAATACTGATTTCACTGTGTGATTCCCTTGTGGCTTTTGAAGGCGGTTCCAGTGTAAAATGGTTCTTTCTGGGAGAGAGTATTTCCACATTTTTACTACCTGAAGGTTAGAAATGCAGAGATTTCCATCTTCCCCTTCTGAATGTTATGTCAGCACCAAGTAAGTAGTGGAGATCAAAAAAGTAGAAGTGTGGAAAGTAGCTAAAAGGGTGGGAAGTAAGGACTGGAATATAATGTGGAAAAGACTAGTGAAAACAAGCATGTTGAATCTGTTAAAGATCAGATTGTTTTTTTCTGCAATCAGCATATACAAACCTACATATTTTACAGCCATGAGCAAGGAATTTGTCAAGATGAAGCTATCTTTTCATAGCAGTTTCTTCTATCATATATTCAGTGTTGGTGCTAGAAAAATAAGCATTTTTCTAGATCCTGTACTGGGCATAAGGATGGTTCTGCTGAGACTGCAGTTACAGCTTAATTGAATCATTAAAGCAACTTGCTGTAATGGAGGATAATAAGAAACTGAAAAGTGTTGAGCCTCTTCAACTCCTATGTGTTACTGAACTACTGGAGTGAATTCCATGTGCTTTCAGTATTAGAAGAAGAGTCCTTAGTGAGTTGGTATGATGGTTTCTGTAGCTCTTACCTTTCCAAGGTAAAGGAAGAAAATGGCCAGTATCCGTGCCAGCTAATAGTATTGTCCTTTGGTCAAAGTGGTATGCAAAAGCTCTCACTGACAGGCAAGAGCATACCTTAACTTGGACTCTGCTTTTGCATGTTGGGAAAAACCCAAGTAGAGAGTACTTTCTCAGTTTTGTTAAGAATCAAGGTAAGAAGGATAAGTACTAATAAGAATTGTATTCAAACTGATTTCATTTAGAGGCAGCAGTGTTTCTCTAGTTGACTGTCATGATCTGTTTACTGGATTTCTATGACAGTTTCTTCTCTTGAGAAGTTACTGCGCATTATTTGAGCAAAAATTCTCCTTGGGCTGCTTTCTGCTTTTCATCCCGTGATTTCTGGGGCAGATTTTGTTGTTGATTTAATTTGTTAGTTTAAACTGTTAGTAGTCTCCAGAGTCCAGTCTAATTTTCTCATCCAAACATGTTTCTTTTTAGCTGTTTTTATAATGAGAAAAGCAGAGTAGTCTCCTGAAACTAGTCAAAAGCATTGGTAATGCAAACTTTACAGATAACTGAGGCCATGTTTGGCTCCTGACTCTACTTTCTCTGATCAATACTTTCCCTTGAAAGAAGCAAATGAAAACGTATATTGACTTAAAACACAATAATATTCTTTTGGCAATGCTTACTGGGAAAACCAAATGTTGCATAAGTTGAATTACATGCCATGAAGAATTAGTGAAGTGTGGCTGATTTGAGATGGCTGTATTATGTGGTGTGTTATGAGATTGATTGTTGTTTTAAAGATGTCCAGTAGGTGAGTTTTCAAACAAAATATGTAGCGGTCAAGATAAATGAGAAAATTGCACCAGATATTTTCATTGTCTACTAAAGAAGACATGGATGTTTTGTATGGGAATAGTGTGGGATTACACATTTATTGAATGTAGCCATGAATGGTGTTGCAGGAATGATTCTCAATCTGTTTGGAAGCAAAAAACTAACCAAACAAAAAAAATCCACTAAGTTACACTAAGTGTCAAATGGTTCAGTATAGGAAAAGGGGAAAAAAACGCTCATCCAAATTCAGGAATCAGAGTAAAGGACACTGTTAGATAAGAAGAGGTAAGGCACAGGTTTCTGGCAGGTGTATTCAAAGCAAAATAAAAAACTTCAGTTTTAAAGAAAAAAGAATGCTGGAGATGTTAGGTAAAGTATTCCGCACCACTACATAAATACTGTATAAAAATGGTTAGCTGACTTAAGAAAATTGCTTTTATTCAGTTGTCTTTAATTCTGAACAGCATTCCTGAACCTCTGAGTATCTTCCAAAGAATTAAATACCGTATGCATGCTAGTTAATAAATGAATGAATGAAGATATGGCTAAGATGTATTAGTTTGGAGAGAGACCAGATGTTTTTGTTCGTTTACTCATCAGAAACTTGGTATGTGTGCAGTAATATTTTGTGTTAACTGGCAGGAACTAATTACATTTTCAGTTTTTACTATTTAAAGCTGCCAGCCCAGTAATTGTGTTAGAAGCTTTAATGCCCTTTTGTTCATCACCTTTTCCAGTTATATCTATCTGATGTTTTGAGGAGATGCTGCTTCAGAATTGGTGCAGAATCCTTCATATGTTCTGAACGCAGACATTGTCATGCATCTCCTAACAATTTCAACTCAATTGTATTGTGTTAGTTAAGAATTCTACTACTGAATCTTTCTTCTTGACTTAATAATATGTAGCAGGAGAAGCGACTTCTCATCTAAAAGAAAAATTCACTCTGTTATTCACCAGCATTGTTTGGGAATGTGCAAACTCCATTAGTGTTACATTACAGAAAAATGTCAGCTGAAGGCATAAACAGATTACACAGAGACCCTCACAAGGGGTCTAGCCACTTGGATCATATTACTGTCAAATTGATGAATGTGGAGAAATGAGGTTGTCCTTGGTGTAAGCTTCAAAGTAAAAATATAGTCTTAAATCAAACAATTTAGCTAGTTTGAGCTAGTTATTGCCTTGAGAAAAGTTAATGAGATAATTAATGTCCTTCAATGGCAAGACGGTATTTTAATCCAACAGTATGGTTCCTTATAAGCAATCTCTTTACAGCTTCTTCGTTTCTTGTGTAGTTGTCTTTTTCTTGCAACATTCAGTACATTAACTCAGACTTTTTGTGTGTGTCTCTTCTGTACCACAGGTATTGGATTGGATTGAAAACCATGGAGAAGCTTTTCTTAGCAAACATACTGGAGTGGGAAAATCCCTGCATCGGGCTAGAGCTTTGCAGAAGCGCCATGAAGACTTTGAAGAGGTTGCACAGGTAAAAACAGTCGCATGAAGGACTATACATTTGTCAGGGAAATGTATGAAAAATTCCTATAGGGCTGGGCAGATGGAATTCCACTACAAACAATTCAGTTCCAAGAATGGGCTGTTTTGTTCCTGATGCAAGCTTTCTTTTTTTTTTAACATTTCTCCTGTGCACTCCAGCTTCATTAAGAAAAAGACAAACTTCCACAGCCCTACAGAGGGTGGGAGCCTTGAAGCCCAATAAAGTTGCTACTGCTGCTATTTTTATTATTACTATTTTTGAAAGCATGCTTTCAAATATTGAGTTGCAGAAGAATGAAAGTTCTCCTTTTGAAGTACCTTAATTCTGTGAGATTCTAGGATTTAAACTTTGTGCAGCGTTTAAAAGAGGATGGAGATTAATTGAAAGGCATCCTTTCTGACTTCAAGCTTGGGGAGCTCCTAAATCCCCACAGGAGTCTGATGGGGCAGAAGGGAGGGACTCCTAAGAAGCCAGGTGAGCCAGCAAACTGGCCAACCTGGCTTTGGGTTTTTTCTTTAAATAAAATTGCATTTGTATATGTTCTCCTGTTCTGAATCACTGATACCAATACTTCTTCCACAGGAAACTCTAGTTTTAGCCTTAAGTGGAACTGATTATGAACTTTTACACACACTTTTTTCTGAAAAAGAATCAAGCCAAAAGAAATAGAGATACTAAGGAATACAGGGAGCATGACAAGAGGAAGCTGGTTTGGGTGGCAGCCTTGAAAAGGGGGCATGAAGTGAAAAAAAACAAAACAAAAAACAACAAAAAACCCCAGACCATAAGAAGCTGAAGGCTAGAATCCTCCCCATTAGTAACATGCACTGTCTGTCCAGTCATAATGATTGATAAGAATAAACATGTCTAAGATTCATCACAAAAAAATCTCATTAAGGTAGGGTTGATGCAGTGGTCCTTCAGTCAAGACAGAAGGCACATTATTAGAAAATTCTGAAGTGACATGCAGGAGTTTAGCAATGACATCTACTGTGTCGGATGCATCAGAAGTGTGTCTACAGATTGCCTCTTTAATGGATGGTTAAGATCTTAATAAAATTTTATTGTAAACACAGCCTTAGAGCACTCCAGTGGCTGAGGACTTGAAATAGCATCAGAAAGCTTCCTCAATATTGATTTCTTACAAAGTTTTTCAAAATAGTAAGAGTTCTTAGTTTTGTATGTACACATTCTGGATTTTCCATATGCATGTCTAATAGTTCATTTTTAGTAAAATCTGTAATATTTTCCATGTGGAAATACTTATTTTTCTGCATCAGACAAGCAAGAATCTGTTTCTCTGAGACACTTAACAAAACCTGAATGATCTCATACTTAATACACTGTTATTTGAGCAAAGAAGTAAAAAATGTTTGAGTAACCAAAGGCAATGAAGTGTGTGTATAACTGCTATTGGGATGTAAACTATTAAAAAGACATCCTGTTAATTTGCATTATACTTTAAAGTAGAAAGCTATAAAGCAAATACTTAGCAAAAACTTCCTAAAACTGAATGTTACTAGAGTTTACAATGATCTCTTTAGGGGATGGGTGGAATTTCTATTTTTGGTGATACTGAAAACTTAGACTGATCAAAGGACTTAAATATACTACAGGGGACTATCTTCTACTGACAGAAGGATGGACAAAATGATCTAATTTTTTTTTGATGTCTAACTCTTGAATGTGTAGTGACTGCCAAGAGAGGCACACCCTCTGAGTTGTTCCTCTAACTTGCTCTAAAACTGAACATAAGCAGGCCCCAAAAGGCATTCCTTTTAGTGTTATAAGGAAGATTATGTTCAGCTGTAAGACTGCAATCTGCAGTCCCTGTGAAAACACAGATATATTTTAGTTGGTTTATTCTCTACCTACATTTCTCGTTGGTCCAGGTCTTTGTTGCATTTTGGGGATTTTGTTGTTGTATTTTGTTTTGTTGGTTTTGTTTGGGGTTTTTTGAGGGGCTGTGTGTGTTGGGGGTTTTTTTGGTGGTGTTTTTGGTTTGTTTTTGTTGTTGTTGTTGTTGTTGTTTTTTGTGGTGGTTTTTTTTTTTTAAACAGGACCATGGGCATAATCAGGGCTTTTCAGTCAGCTCTAGTCAGAAGTTGAGAGGAAGCAGTGTAAAATGAACTGTCAGTGACATGGCAATGTTTTATTAAATGCAGGGAGCCAACAGTAGTGTTGAAATGTTTCTGATCAAACCTGATTCCTGATTTTGAGAGGAACAAATTTTTTTTTCTTCCCTTTTGCTTCCTCCCTCATTCTTATTTATTGTGAATGAGGTGCCAGTTCCTCAGCAGCATTCAAAGAGATGTTAAAATAAGCTGTGTGTCGAATAGTAAAGATTTTCCAGAGTCAATGGGCTGTGGGCTTACAAATTGTTCACTTTAAAATTCCTGTGAAATGAAGACTTGTTTCTCTTTGTTTGGCATTTTTGTTACCCCTACAGAAACACTAGATAGTCAAAACTCAGCCAACTAATAATCCACCCTAAATTCTGATGTATTGATGTTTGTGCTACATATACACACTTTGACTTGCACTCACTATGGTAAAATAGCGTTGCTCTTTTCATGTGAAGCCTGCATAGTTCACTTTCTACTTAGTTAAAGTGTCAAGACTCCAAATTTTGACATAACTGATTCACTTATGGGTGCAGATTTTCAGTGCTAGAAGCACTGGATGCAGATCACTGGTATGGTTGTACTTCCGCATGTATTTTTGTATGAAATTCTAAGTCAGCATCTCCTGTTTCAACTGTGGTTGATGTCTGCTTTTTGACAGTAGTCTGCGCTCAAAAACATGAATGTGTATGGCAAGAATTAATTAGTGGGATCTTTACCACAGATAAGGTCTTTTCTCCACATGCAGACTGCATCTGAGTAAAGAACTCAAGTAGTCTTGGTGCAAGAAATGCACAGAAAGATTCTTCTAAATCTTATTTAAATATGCTTGTTACTTCCCTACTACCACCAGTTCCCACCTCCTTTAAGGTTATTTTTAAAAGTTTATGTATTAGAACTGATTCTTAACTTTACCCCTGAATGGGGTAAATACCTTAAACTAAAAATCCATGGCTTACAGTATCATGTGGCCATTACCAGATGCATAAAGAACAGGGACTGTATGCTTAAAAAATTACCTTTACTCTCCCAGTTGTCTGGGCCAATTTGATGCCTGGAACTAAAGGATGCATCAGAACCCATGTTTAGTAGTCACTGATGGGCTTTCCTTCTCTTAATTAGGCTGGCTACTTTTTGAACACATTCATGCTCTTGGAATGTATGCCAGATCCTGTGGCAACGAATTACGCAATTTAATTGCTTCTTAGATGAAAAGTATTTTTGCTTTTTCATTTTTGAGTGTGTTGTCTGATGCTTAAATGTGATAGCATCCACTGTATTTAACGAGTAATCTGTCTTAATTTTCTCTACCTTTAACGATTTGTGTACCTCTGTTAATCTCCCTGCATCTATGTGCGTGCCTCTCTTCCCCTTCCATTGTGCAATAAACTCCAGTTTGTATGAATACCTCCATTCACTTCTGTTGCGATGTTTATTGTCAGTAGCACTCATTTCTGCGCTAGTTTCCTAAATTCAACCTTTGACTTTACTGTGATGTGTCACTTCTTATGCTTTCTGAAAAGATGATGTTTGGTTTTTCTGAAGAGTATTTAGAGAAGGTTTCTCAACAGGAAGACTAGGAAAGCGATGGAATATGTTGTTGGGGAAGGTGGTAAACTCTCCATTAATGGAGAGTCTCTCAGCATTTTGGAGAAGAATGCCTATTAAAGACTCGACTATAGTTGATCATGCCTTGAGGCACAGAGGGATGGACTACAAGACTTCTTAAAGCTCCTACCAGGCTGATTCTTTTCCCCTGGGATTTGGGGACGGTGTGCTTAGTGGAGAAATTCTGAGGAAGTGTTAATCTGTTTCAAAACTCTGTTGAATTTGTCACTGTAAAGGCTCTTTTGTCAATGGCATAAGTAACTTAAAGGGAGAACTCATGCTCTTTCTGCCTAAATTTCTGTTTTCTAACTGGTGGCTGCCCCTTGAGACCAGCATTTTCAAAACCTTCACACTACTTTTTTTCCTCCAAGCATTGTTTAGAAGTAAGCAGAGAATTGGGAAAGGTGGTAGTTAGTACAGCACACCTATTTGCCGTGATTTCTATTCCAAAGGGCAGTTATTATCTACCAAGATAAATATTTATGCTATATTTCAGCTCTAATTGGAGGAGAAATTTTAGCAATAAGGCATGTGTCTGCTGTTATACTTGGAGAATTGCAACTCCTTTTGAAGCAGCGTTTAGGTTATGATCATTTCTAAGTAGAGGCAGTTCACCATCCAGTGTACAGAAAGAAAAGTCTGATGTGCCCGGGCCTGTGTTACGCAGAAGATAGTAGTGGAATTCACAAACAGTGCATCACATGTGCGATAAAGTTTTCATTAAAATGGGAAACTTCTGTTTCAGCCATCTGCAGCTGGGTGTGGCTCTCTGCGTTGATGAAGTAGTTGTTGTTTGAGGAGTGCCTTAGGGCTCTTCGGCCTTGCCCCTTGAACGCATGTGAGCTGTGACCGTGGAAGTCAAAACACCACAGATCAGAGTGTGTTATGGGCCAGCATGACCTGAGCCAGTCATCTGAAGTGTTGAGTACCGGAAAGGGTAGATTTATGTTAGTCTCTGCAGGCTTTCCCAGAGACGCTGGTGGGGATTTCTCAACCTCTCCGTGCAATTAAAAAGCTGAAGGTTAAGAAAGGGCTAAGATGCCATCATCAAAATCAAGGAACAGCATGGATGGAATTCCTTGCATAAATAGATCATAAAATAAATAAACGGGGAACTCCCCCCAGGTATTTGAAAGCTGCAGTGAGTCATGTAATCTGCCCTGGGCTTGCCTGGCCATTTTCTTGAGACCCTGGTGGAGAGCTCTTATTTCCTGCCCCCTTAGTTGAGTTTTAGGGCTGGGCTTGGACTTAACTTTTGTGGATATTAAAAAGTTAATTAGAGGTGTGGTACTATATTTATGGCAAAGAAAAGCACATTTGTATAGACTTAATTTATCTTGGCAAGCAGTTTTTACCTGAAGTAATTGAGATGGGGAGAAGGTGTAAGAGCAAGAGGGAAAAGAGAAAGGTGTAGTGTTTATTGTCAAGATTTTTTTCCTTATAGTCTGTGTTGCAGACTTATCAGGAGACCTGACGTGCTGACATAAGCAAAGCTTCTTTAGTGTAGACTTGGCTTCAGTGTGTTTTCTCCAGAGGTTATCATCCTTCTTTTGCTTTCTCAGTGAGTCTGTTTTGAGGACCATTCTGAGGCATGAAAACCCAAGGTTAGGCTCAAAAACAGCACCCAAATTATAGCAAATGTTTGGAATATGTCCTGTTTTGAATTAATAAGAAAGATACAGATACAGGATGCAAATTTTAAGCTGTAAGAGTTGTTAAGCATTTCTCTTCTCTGGACCATAGTGCTCTCAGCACATCAGCTACAGGACTTCTCCCATTCTTTTCTTTTTAATTAAAACAGTTCCCATTGTTTTCTGCTTTGACAAAGTCTCATAGGACTGCTTATCTGCATTTGTTGATCCTATGACATATTGGGGCACTATGCCACTCTGACACTCAGCCATAGCTGACTTCTAAATCTTCCTGTGTTGCTGCTGTTCCACAAATGATGACCTGCTTGACATGAGTTTTTGATAGCTTGCTTCTGTAAGGATGGAGCAAAATTAGATCCTTCTGTGCCTGGTCACTTTTCACCTTCCTGCGGGATGAGCGGATTTGATGTTAAGTGTCTCTACCAGCAGCAAGGACTTTCTCAGTCCTTTTTCCAGTATTGAAATAGGCCAGTTTGCAAGTAATTAGATGTTTAGGCTAATATATATTCTATTTGTGAATATAAAATATTAATTCCAATGAAGAATAAATAGACTCCTAAGATTTAGATTGAGGAGACATTTGAATAGACATAAATAAGGAGTTAAGGAATTAATTTATTCACAGTTCAATGAAAAAGTATCTAGAAATATAACAGAATCTTTAGTCATGTTATATCCTACTATCTTTTAAAAAGGGGAGAAAGAAAGATACATTCTAAGGGCCACTTTGTCCTTTTGTTTTCATTATTGAAGTGGCTTTAAAATATACTGACTGCATTTTCTTTCATTTAATCCTGTGAAATGAACTTATTCCTCTACAGAACACGTATACCAATGCAGATAAGCTCCTAGAAGCAGCTGAACAGCTTGCTCAGACTGGGGAGTGTGACCCAGAGGAGATTTATCAAGCTGCCCATCAGCTTGAAGACCGGATACAGGATTTTGTTAGGCGTGTGGAGCAACGCAAGATCCTGCTGGACATGTCTGTGTCCTTTCACACTCACGTTAAAGAGGTAAACTGCTGTTAAGTCATGGTCATAACTTTAAGCCTTAAAAACTGATATTGTGCCATGTTACTTTCATTGTTAGAACATTGCATAGGAAGTCATGAACCCTGGTTGTATGATGAGTTTTGCTTTGTAATTCATTACAGATTGGTGGCTGGTGTAGGGTGGTTTGTTTATGTGTTTTTAATTTATTTTTTAATTATTTGTACTTTCACAAGTAGCTTTTATCTCCTTTGTTGTGCAAGTACACATGCTTGTTCAGTCATGAGGAAGGGGGGAGGGTCGGGTCAGGGAACTGATACAGCTTAAAGATAGCATTGCATGGGTAGACACTGTGCACTCTTGTTTTGTGTTGTTTTTTCCAACCAGCTCTGCGGTGCAGTTAACTGAGTTGTCAGACACGTGGTTAAGACCGACATGGTTCAGGAGACTGAAACACATGGCAGAAGCACAAGGGTACTTAAGTCAACCCTGCTGCCCAGAGAGACTTTGTTTTCTTTTTCTGTTTTACACATTGTATTTTGATCTTGTATATTGACAGGTCCTCACAACCTAAAGAGCTTATCTGATAATGACAATGATTTGCTGCGTGTTTGCAAATTTTAGTCTCCTTCGAAGGTTCAGCTGACATACCAGGAAAAAGAAAATTCAGCCAAACACACATAACTTTCTGCCCCTATTAAGATCACAGACCATATGAATTTATAAGTTCATGGAAAAGGGTGGAATAGGCTAGAGCAAGAATAAGGACTGCTGTGCAGTGTTTTGGGTAAAGGTAGTGGCAAATTTTGATAACTGTAGATTACTTGTTTTCTGTTTAGAGCTCATGTTAAATCTTCCTACTGTTCAATCTAGGTGAAAATATGAAAGGCTTCTGGATCACAGCATGTCAGAGTATGGGTCTTCCTTTCACCCTACATCAAGAAATGGTCTGTTCAGTGGGGAAGTACAGTATTCAAAGTAGCTTCTTCAACAAAACCTTGTAGAGGATAAGGGTGGGAGTTTTTTGCATTTGAAACATCTGCTTTACACTTGAAACAAATGCACAAGGTCTTTGACAGAGGTCAGGATTGAATTACTTTCTAGCTCTAGACGTGTGTACATAGCTCCCCCATCCGTTTTCTGTTAGATGCTTCCTTGCTGATATTCTCCCAGGACTCTACTTGTTTAAACAAAACACAAATGCTGTATCGTAAGCTATTCCTATGGGGCAACTTTTTTGTTTCACTTTTCTCAGACACATAGTGTGTTCCATTACCTGTTGTTGAACACAGGAGCAGTCAGCTGTTGAAACGTGTTCATTCTTTTTATAGCTTCCTTCATTATCTGTTTTTCTTAGCATCAAGAAGAGCATCTGGAACAGTTGGCTGTAGTGATGAAAGACGCGTACTGTAAAAGGATATGCAAGGAAAGGGCTTTAAAAAAAAATCCAAAAAACTGAAAGGCAGACTGATCTGTGAGTCACTGTTGAGTGATTCTGGGACGCTAATCCAGATGTGCTGGAATGTTGCCACAGTTTCCCTTCATAATAATGTTTTATTGCAAAAAAAAGATATGCTGTATCTTGATTTATTTCTTTGGGAAAATGGATATTTTTGTCACCCTGTAAGTGCACACAGCTGTTACTATGGCAGCCTCTTTGCAGTCTGGACTTTGGAGAAAAGGTACTGTGGCTGATGTATGTGTGTTGATTTTTTTTTTCTTTTTATCATGTGGCTAACTTCTATACCTAATAAAGGAAGGAAAATTAAAAAGAGTACTTATTTATGTAAGCAATGTTATATTTTTATTTATTATTATTATTATTCTATTTATTATTT